TCAAAGAAAGACTGAAATAGTCAGACACTCTTCCCCCAAATATCACAGATTCCCAGCCTTGTGGGATTCTAAGCAAATAACCAGAATATCACTCAGGGCTAAACCTTCCTCTGTAAGCAGACATTTTCTAGCGGTGCCCTGGCCTCGACCCTCCTCAGCGATGGTCTTCAACCTGCGCGGCTAATTCCTTCCTTGATTTGCCTTCACCTTGGGAAAGAAGAAAGAAAACAAAGTTCCTCCTCCCCAGTCCCCAGTCTGCTACATTTCGAAGAAGTGGCTGGAAAACGTCGATTCCACTGGGAAAAGCGTCTGCTGGAGGCTACTGCGGGTCGGGCCCACCTTTAGCTTCAGGTTGACAAATGTCTTCAGCGCGTTCTCAGCTCCGCGGGCCCTAGGGGGTCCCCTAAAATCGCAATAGTGTCCGCCCTGTCTGACCTGCCCCCCTGCAGCGGCGCACATTTCAGCTTTTCAGCTTCACGGTGGAGCTCGCAGTAATTGAGTCGGGAAGGTTATTTTTCCTGGCCTCGCCTCACCGTCCTGAGACTGCGGGGAGCTTTCGGAAAGACATCGCCCCCCCTCCTCCCACCCCGCCCCGAGGCCCCGGCAGCTTCTGAGCTCTGCCCCGGCCTCCGCCCCGCGGGAACCAGGATTTCGATCCACGCGGCTTCGGCCAGAGGCTTAGGCCGGCGGGTGAAACCACCAGGGGTCCCAACGGAGGGCTTATTCCCGACCCGCTTCACAATTGGGGGTCAGATCGCATTAACACCAAACCGCCAACCGGGCGGGAGCAGGTGGTTAATTGCATAAAATAGAGTTAACTGCAAGAGACTAACTTTACAACGGTGACTTGGTTTCCCTCCGTAGCTTGGTCATCAAAAAAGAAGGTCTCTCCCTCCTCCTCAGTTGTAAGGCGGGGAAAGGTTCTCAGCTGCTCAAGAAGAAGGCTAGAGGTGCATACTGTCAGCTTAAGGTGACCCGCAGGGTGGCGCGGTAGGCGCGCCGGCCCCCATCCTCGCGGCTATTGGAAGCAGGTTTCCCTCACCCTTTCCTGGAAGGTAAGAGCTTTGGCATCTGGAAGTGTCAGAAAGGAGCCTTTTGCCATAAATCATCCTGAAAAGCATTCAAATCAGACAAGCGTCTAGAGACCCCTTAGACACTCCACCCCCAAAATCCTAGATCAAAGTGCAATTCCTGGAACCATAAACACCTATTATAAGCAAAATCCTACTTATCTGGAGGATGCTAAAACTGAGAGAGAAGGAAGGAATAAGAGGCATTTGTCGCTGTAAATCCCCCGCACAAATTCACAAGCTCTGTCTTGTCTTAGATTTGTCAACTGCTTTCTCGGGGATGGCCAACCACAGCTTTTCTCAACTCGCCCATTACGCGTTTCTGGGGTCCCCCGAACAGCTGGCTGGAGAGTTTAGAACGCGGGACTGGACATTGGCTTTCGCTAGTTTTTTCAACCAAGAGAGAAGCAGGTGTGAGAGAGTCCCGAGCTGGGGAGGTGGGAGCGGGAGAAAGAGAATTCACTTTGTCCTAGTGTAGAGACAGCAAGTGCTTTTTACAGATTGCACTAGTGCGGCAAACTTCAGTGCGAAGCACTGTTCGTCCGAAACTTCGAAAACTCCGAACAGAAAACACCCGCCCAGGCAATTTCTGCTCTCGCTGAACTCCCTCTCCGGGCTGCGTTACATTTGCACCATAACACCGTTAATTTCCGAGTTCTCTCAAGAGCGATCAGCAGAGGGACAAGGACACAAAGAGGGGACCTCGAAGGGTAGATGTCTAAGATTCTGAGAGAGCAACTTTCTTGCCTCAGAAATGAAAAAACTCCATTTTTTACCCCGACTTCCTTGGTCAATCCAGAGTCAACCGATTGTATTGAAATCTCAAGTCTGGAGCAGGGATGGCCCAGCCGGGCGTCTAAGGCGGAAGCTAGGGGGCGGCGGGGTGGAGGGTAGGAGGTTGGCGTGTGGGGGGGGGGGTGGGGGGTACTAGCATGGAGAGACGTCCCCCCACATACATTCCCTTCCCGGAGACGCGCTCGCTGCACGGGTACCGCGAGAGGGGGCCTTAGGAAAGGCGCTGGCAGCTAGTTGACTGCAGGGTTGAGATTATTCGACACGTGTCTTTTACTCCTCACAATCCATTTCTTACGGGTGATTTATGAACGAACCTCTTTGATCTGGGACGGTTTTTATCTGTCCACTGTTACAGATGACAGACGCGGCTGCTAAAATGCCTCGTTCCCGCTGCCTAAAAGCTTGCTCCCCCCTTCCCAAATGCTGTTGCTTTTTCTCTGGTGATTCCCCACCCCCTGCCTCTTCGCTACCCTCCCCTACCCCCAGCCCCGTTCGCTCTATTAGTTGCAGTCCCTCCGGATGTTTTAAGTCAACAAAAAAGCGCTGGGCAGGGTCAGTTGGGAGCCAAGGCAGGCAGATTTGGGGCACGCTATCCCCTTGGTGCCACATGTGTTGGGGTTCTATGAAGGCCTCCAGCCAGGGACCAGAAGAACTAGCTCCCAAAGTGCGGGTACCCGCCTTGGGAAGGGAGAAGGCAAAGCCCTGGCAGTCAAGTTCCCGCGGGGGCTGGCTTTGCTAAAAGAAGGGACGTGGACCCGGGATGCGGAGGGCAGTGTGGTCCGGGGCTCTGTGCGGGCCGGGACTCTTCAGAACAATCACGTCGGCTTAACCAGGGAGGGAAGGAGGCGGCAGAAAAGGGGGAGAGGGGGTCACGTTGCGCGCCTTCTAGTCCCTAATAGGTAAAGGAAAAGCGGAGTCTCAGAAGCGGTTATTAATAGATCTTTTCTTTTTCTTTTTCTTTTCTTTTCGTGTGTGTGTGTGTGTGTGTGTGTGTGTTAGTAGTATTTCATTAAAACCATATCCTGGAACAAAGAGCTGCTCTTTCATGTCTCTTTGCTTTGTTATTACTCTGACAGGAGTTCTAAAAACAGGATTTTCCAAATCAAAGGATCCCTGCAGTTCGTGCCCCCTCCCAGCCCCCCTTTCCTTTACCAAACTGCTCTTGGTATCATTATCCCACTACGGATTCTTATACTCTTGATTTAGCCGGAGGACATTTAATAGCTGACTGGATTAAATATTGCAGACTCCAGCCTGCGCTATTTGAAAATCCGGGTCGTGGACTGTGCCTAACTTCAGAGAAGGAAAACTGATCTATGAGATGTGTTTTAAGTTTCACTCAGTCGAGGCCTGGAGAGAAGAGGAAGAAGGATTCTCTGCTCCAGGTCTCTTTAATATGTTACAAAGTTAAAAGTTTTAGAAGGTGTGTGTTGATGGGGGGTAGCAAGAAAAGTCAAGGGTGGAATGAGGCGAGAGGCAACCTTCGCAAGAGACTAACAGAAGTTTCCTTCTGTCATAATGGAAGAGGGATTTATAAGGACATTTTTAAAGTAAAGAATGCTGCTCTGGAAGGTAGGATTCTGCCCAGGAATGGAACAAGGTTGTAGGGGGTGCATCAGCATACCTCTCTGAAGGATTCATTATCATTACTAAAATGCAGTATTGACTCGGTCTCTTTCTGCTGCATGTTGCTTTCAACAATAGTAACAATTCTTTGATTTGGTGTTAAGTTTCAGAAACAAAAGAGGAAAAGAAATTTGGACTATTGTGTCCAGTAGTAGGTTTAGAAATGGAGGTCTGGAGGCCCCAAAGTAACATGTCAGAGTCAGGGTGTTGGCAGTTCAACCCAACATTCATCTTGGCTAGGCAAACCCAGAGGCGCAGGATCTGAGGTCTTCCTCCAGGATGCTTCGGGGGCCATAACCAGATATGATATGTACCCAGAGGTAATAAATCCACGTAAAGTTCCTTCAGGGACGCTGGATGGGTATTTAGATTAAATGCCATAGAGAGAAAAGATGTGTCTGTTTATCTGGTCTTGCGCATTTTTAAAACTGTCACCCTTAAAGCTAATGTGATCATTTTGAATTTATTTCAATTCTTTGGAAACCCAAAGAGGATTAATAAAAACTCTGACAGTAAATTTAGATTTAATATTGTGGAAGAAAATACCCCAACTTTTAATTTTTTTTTTTTAAATACAGAGGTGTATGGGCAGCTATAAAATAACTATAAGCCAGGTGCAATTGTCAGTGTAACAGTGACTTAGGAATAATGTTGCATTTAAATGAAGAGCCACAGAACAGTTCAGTCATTTAATGTACAGTCTTAAAAGTATTGTCAACAAATATTTAAAACCTTAATGTGTGCAGAGATCCAGGCCTGAGCCACCCGTTAATATTCACAATAGCCTCTATGAACATCTCTCTTAGAACAGAGAAAGGAATTGGACTGTCTTCCACAACTGGGCAACTACTAATTCATTTTAATTTTGTTTATGAACTGAGCTTCTTCCTTCCTTATTTGTACATGTGATTTTTAAGAATCCTCAATCAAACCGATAATTTAACTTCTTAAAAGTCCTACCCAATGGGCAGCAAAGATCCCCAGAGCCTGGGTCCTGGCCCCAGGAGGGAGGGATCACCCGCTCATCTTTCAGCCCAGTCAAGCATCTTGGAGGTTTAGGGTCTGTCAGTCCTGGCATTCCTTCCCTCTTATCACTCTCTACCCCTTCAAAAAGGCAATTGATTAGTTTCAGCTTTTCCAAACCGAGATCGGATACGTTTCTCAGGATCAAAAGTCTCCGAGAGGCCAAGACAGAAACGTGGGGGATGGGGAACGTGAAGAAGGAAAGCGCGGGGTGGGAGGGTGTGGGGGGGTGGAGATTTGCCAGCCACCTCAACCCTCTGCACCCAAGGCACCTAGGGGATGGGCGGGTGCTGGGAAGGGATAAGATTGTGACCTCTCCTGGAAGAGGCACTTAAGGATTTAAGATGTGTCTTCCCTTTCCGGAAGCAAATATTTAAAGGAGAAAATAGATATCTAGAAAAGGAGGTTGATGATTTATGCCTGGATTTTCCTCCAAGCATTTGCCTTCCTTGTATTTACAGGCGTGGCTCCATTTGCAAATTGTACATCTGTTCTCTTCACGTGACATTTCATAAAAGCCCTAACATCTGGGCAAGATAAACTTCCTTCAGGTACCTGCTTAACTTTTCACTTGTCACACTCGCATCACCCCCGGTGGGTCCTTTTCGCCCTCCCGCCTGACTCAGTGGCGGGGTCTGTGGCGCGCTTTGTTCCAGCCCCCACGCTCTGGCCCCCAGCCTCCTAGGACCCCACATAGCCCCCCTCCCAACGCCAACCTTTGCCACGGCCAGCTTCTTTGGCAGACCCCATCCTTACGTCTCCCGCCTCTGGTTCCACCGTGCAGGTAAATGAGGGCACCATCTTGGACCCAAGGAGAAAAGTCAGATTGCCTTCGATTCGGGCTTCAGACCAAAAACAAAACAAAACAAAACAAAACAAAACAAAACTGCCTAATAAGCAATATTCAAACTCGCGCTTAGATTCCATAGTCTCATATACATCTATATACTCTTCAGTGGAATGAAAAAAGAGTGCTGCTGATTCTGATGGTTGTCTTTAAAGGAACGTTCGCTCTATCTGGTAGATGTTTAAACTGCGTGGTTTACAGAAATTTAATTTCACTTGCTCGTAATCTCCCTTCCCCTAAGAAGGTTGCCTTTGGGATGAATGTTTTTAGAAATGTCTTTTTCTTTTCCTAATCTGGAATTTTGTTCACGCGTAAGTACGAAGACACATCCACAAACTTGGGGGGGGGGGCGGGAAATGGAAGGAAAAGAAAACAGTCCACGTAAACAAGAAGGACAGCCGTTCGAGGCCTTCGCTGCAGCAAACCCCAAACGATCTCATTGCAGGGCGCCCACGAAATCCCGGCTATAATTGAGTGTTTTCTTTGAGGTTTTCTGACCATGTGCTTTTTGCCATGGTTACTAGGACTCTGATATGAGAAGCTGGATATTCATTATGATTCCGTCCCATCCGTTCCCCCAAGGTTGATCTCCCTGGCCTTTATAAAGAAGGAGACTAGCAAGGGGGGACTTTTGTGCCAGTGATTTTAACCTGCCCCACCTTCCAGTGACCTGCCACATGCTTCTTCCCTCTTTATAGACATCTGGGAATTCCATACATGCCTTAAACTCCAATTACACACCTTCTTCAAAGGACACGTGCTTTGATTTGCTAAGAACATTAAGTGGGCTCACGTCCTGGGGCCTTGGGACAAAAGCAAATGGCAAATGTATCTCATGCGCTGTTTACTGGGTCTATCTTTGGCTGTTCAGTAAATAAGGATAATTAATAATCCTGTTTGCATTTTCGAGGTCTCGGATTCGAAGTTTCTTGGGAAAGAGTGGGGTTGCCGGCTGTGAGAAATCATGAGGTAACCGAGCTCTCCTTCCACTTTGTCGGTGCACTTTCCTTCCACTTTCGCTGGTGCTGGGGGTGGGGCACGCTTTACGACACACGCGCAGAAAATTCTGGAAAAGTGGCCCCCGGGGGGGGGAGGGACCCCCCCGCCCCACCCGTGTTTGTCACTGATACAGGCCTGTCTCTGGAAATGGGAGGTTGGGCCTTTGCCTGACTCTGTGGCGGCTCCTTCTGCTACCGCTGACACTTGGAACCGCCGCCTCGGCGCAGCGGCCAGACGCGGGGCCCCGAGCGGTCCACGCAGTCGGAGAAGGGCGCGGACATTGTCACTCTCCCCACCGTGTGGCCCCGGCCCGCCACCCACGCAGGGGAGTCTGGGCCGGCGGCCCCCCTCCCGCGCGCGCCGCAGGTGAGCCTCCCGCTCCCCACGGAGTTCTGTTTGGGTTTCCGTGGCGTTTGTACCCCGCAGGTTTGTTTGTTTTTCTTCAAATTACAGATGCAGGGAAAACCGCCTGACATCATGAGAGCGGGACAAACGCTCACTTTGAAGGATTCCTGGGCAGGACTTCAAGTGAAATCATATGCCTGAGAAGAACTTGATACCGGTCTAGAGAAAATAACCAGTTCTGAGTTTGCCAAACCGTGGAATGTGCAAAATGCTCGACTTTTTTGCAAGAGGCCAAGTGTCCCTTAAAAAGCTCTATTATGAATATGAGCCTGAGGACCGAAGGAGCAAGAAGCTTGTGCCGTTGTTGAGTGTGGGAAAAAAGTACACACAGTATGTGAGTTTCTGCTATTTAACGTTATTTTATTAATAATAAGTACCACTTTAGGGCGGGTACCTGCAACTGTGCATGAATTATCATCTGTGCATGTGCTTAGCAAGTGTGTGCACGAAGAAGGGAAATGGGTGCATATGTTCTCATATGAGAACAAAAATTTACTGCTTTCTTATGACTGAAGGCTATCAATTCAACAAAATTAAAAGCAAGATTTAAAATATATATATATATATATATATATATATATATATGCACATTCTTACTCAGTTGTTTAGAATTCACCCAAGGCAATTTTATACAGCATTTTCACTCCAGTAAATGCATTCTGGCTCAAGGGTAGAGTCCCCCGTCCAGCCACCACATTAAATTCTCACTTCTGAAGCAGAGGTAATTCATTCTAATTGTCCTTTAAATAAGAATAGGTAGCAAAAATAAAATGAAAACAGGAAATAATGGTAGAGCTAGAGAAACACAGGTGGCTTTATTTCTCTTCTAAAAAAGAATTCGCCTTGTCGTGTGTATGGAGGAGGACATTGGGAATACAAAAACAGTCTGCAAGCTGAAAATTGTATTCTAATACTTAAAATTTCCACCATGAATTATTCTCATTCAAAGTAAACCTATCTATCACCTTTCATTCATTCATTTATTTATTTCCCTGAAAATCTAGGGGAAAATATTACCTTCAGTTTAGCAACATAAATATGGCATTTGCTTTTCTCCAAAGGGTTTTCCCTTATGAGCAAAGTAAAGAGAATAAAACACCAAAAAAATATTAAAAAATTTAAAAAGGCAAATGATAGGCTACCTTTTTTTGAAACTTCTGGGTTTTGTATCATCAGAGATAAGAGAAATTACCTTCTCAGCAATGACGGTCAGCTCCATCCTGATGTACATCAAGAAATCTGAAATATCAAATAGTCATACCAAGCTAGTGAACAAGGAGATTCCTCCATGAACAGTTTAGAAAATGGAGGTGGTAGGATGATACACACAGAAGAGAGAATTACCATCCTCATGCTCTCCCTCATCCTTCTAGGGTACCCACCTTCCATTTCTACCCTACACACACACACCCACACACACAACACACACCCAAACACACACACACTTTCTCTTTCTCTCTAACATACACATACACACACACACACTACAAACACACCCACACCCTACAAGTACACTCACACGTAATCACTTTCCCGGCTCGTGTAGTTATTTGGTAAAGGACTATCAAAATCCAAAAATTAATTCCCCAAGCCTTCACTAATCTCTCAGTGTGCAAGTCAATGCTACAGGTTCCTTATTTGTAAAACATGGTCTAAGATATTCAGAATAGTGAATTTACAATATTGTTGTGTCAGCATTCTCTGATGATGTGTGGGAGGGAAACAAAAACCTTCAGGCAATATAATAACCTCAATCTGAGTTGAGCAAACATGATCTGTTTGGATTCATATACACTTGTTTGCCATAGCCATTGTTTGAATTAGACAGCAAAATTATTTTCCAGTTTGAAAGCTTCCCTGATTACACCTGAATGCAGTCAACTAGATGTAGAAGCTAAGAAGTGATACAAACTTACTACTTCTAATGATATGAGTTATAAAAGCCAATGTTTTCCTAGCTCAGAAATAACCAGAATGAAATAAAAATCAAGCCCCATCTGTTTTGCTGTTACTGTTTTACTTAACTTCAGGTTTTGTATACCTCTAAGTAGCCAGGGAAAAATTACATGTAATTTTGAATAAAATATATTTGCTAATGAACTCACTAGAAAATGAATAGCTCTAGTACTTCAAATTGTGATTGTTCCAATAGTTACTGAAGATACTGAAAGTTCAGGTTCTTTATTGTATTTTACTTCATAGTTATATGTTCTTTAAAGAAGGAGCATGCTTCCCGAATGGATAACATCAATATGGAAAAATATTAACTTTGGTTCTTCTTTTAAGCAAACATGACACTAAAGATCATTTTCATTCATGAAAAAAGTTAGGCAAATTACTTTGTAAATGGAATTATCTTTCGGGCTGAATTTAACTTTATTATTTTCTATGCATTCCTACTGATTTATCACGTGTACAGATACAGATCATTTTAATAACACTTCGTGCATCCTTTCAGTGCAATGAACCTATTATTTAGAAATCTCACAAACAGTGGAGGGCATGACAAAAATATACAGTAACAAGAGAAAATAGTGCTGGCTTCACATTGCTTATTTGCATTTAACTGTTTTACAGCTGCCTCCTCAAAATATAAGCAAGAGAAGTGAATAACGAATTTAAGTTTTTGCTGTTTGGGGACCTAATAAGAGATGAAGGATAGATGCTACAAAGCCCACTGAACACCAAACTGGAATAATAATAAAGCTGTCTTTCTAAATAACATGCCTGTGCCTGTCAGTAGCTAGTTTATTTGCGTTCTTCACTGCTTTGTTTATATTAGTGTCCCCTCCCTCCTGGGTGCCTCCAGAGTTAAACAAGTAGATATTTACCTCCAACTTAATCCTGAGCTTTAAAAATATAGACCAAACTCTAAGGTTCTTAAAATTTTCAATCATATTTATTTATTGCAGAAAAATAATATACAAAGATATTTACAAAACAATCATAAAAATATGAATGCATTTAGACACCGGATCTATTTGCATTTTACCATGGGTCAACAATAAATAAATAGAATGTTGTTTTTTGTATTTTAAGTTTTTTTTTCTCTCAGAGGAAGAATGTAAAAAGGAATTAACTGACTGTGATTTTGCAAGTCAGTTTAATCCCCGTATTTTTATTTCTAAAGACGTTCTTAAAATTCCTCTGGTTGTTACCATTTTAAAATGGAGAAAAGTCCATAATGATGCCTTTCCTTTCAGTGGCTGATTGGCACGACCTCTTGAGAATGCATGCATGAAAAAATAAAAATAAAAACATTCTTCGTCAAAAAAAAAAAAAAAAAAAAGGAACACAAACAACTGTTCAGACTTCTATCAGAATGTAGAGGTGTGAGGAGGGTGCCGCTGCCCGTCTGGGAATCACTGTCCACGGGCCTGTCTCGCTTTCTCTTTTAAAAGTGCGCCCCACGCCCTGTTTCTTTGAATTTGGGTTCTGCTCTTCTAATTTCCAAGAAAATCTTTGGCATATATATTTATTTTTAGTTATCCAGCTCCAGAGTCTCTAGACTGTCCATTTTCTCCTTCTCTGGAAACAATGACATCTGCAAAAACCCAGAGGGGGGAAAGTTGGTTATTGTTTAGGTCTCCGTGGCTGTTTGCTAAGACTAGTGAGCACTGTTCTTATCACCACTACTGAGAAATTACGCTGAACAACCTGGAAGGATTTCAGCCCCAGGGCAAGAGGAAGTGGGTGGGCGGAAAGAAGGAGGAGGTGGAATTTGGAAGCATTTGTTTTAAGGAGAACGAAAACTTAAAGCCCAAGGAAAGGGAGGCCCTGGCAAGAAAACCGTCCTTATACCCGTGACCCTCGAATCTCTCTCAGTCTTCCCTCCTGTCCGTCACGCACACTCACGCACACGCACACTCCTCATCGGGGCGCATGCCCCTCTCCCTAGCGGGGACCGACCTGCCTTTCAGGGACGCTGGGGGGGGGGGGAGGGGAGGTGGGGTTGGAGGTGGCGGTGCCAGGCTGGGTGGGAAGGCTGAGAGGGGGGTGAGGAAGGCAAGGTGGACGGGGAGCCGCGGCCCGGCCGTCAGTCCATCTGCCACCTGAGCGGCGGAAGGGCGAAGGGGCGCAGAGGCGCCGGTCCTTACCTAGGTCTCCGGCCCTGCCGAGGGGGTGGGGAGCTCCGCCTGCTAGTGGGACGCGGACATGGACCAGGCCCCCTCCATCCTCCAGACCGAGAAGGCGTAGCTCAGTCGCTCGTGGGCCACATAGCTGCAGCTTGCCATCTTGGAGTCCAGCTCGTCGCTCTGGAGAACCTGGTAGAGGAAGTCGATGTACCTGGCCGCCAACTTGAGGGTCTGGATCTTGCTCAGCTTATCCGAGGGCAGCGTGGGGATGATTTTCCGCAGCGCGGCGAACGCCTCGTTCAGCGACTGCGTGCGCTGGCGTTCCCGCACGTTGGCCATGACCCGCTGTGTCTGCAGCTCCTCGTACGACTGCGGGCTCCCGCCGCCGCTGCTGCTGCCGCCGCCGCCGCCGCCGCCGGCGCCGCCGCCGCCGCCGCCCGCAGACTTCTTGCCGCGCTTGCCCTGGGCCGGGCTGCCCGGCTCGTCGCCGCCTCCGACGCCCCCGCCCGCGGCCCCGCCGGGCCCCGCGCCGCCGCCCGCGCTGCGCCGGCTGCTGCGCCGCTTGCGCCCCCCGCGCTTGCCGCTCGGCGGCTGCTGCCGGTCCGGCTCCTCCTCGCTGTTGCTCAGGCTGTCGTCGGCCGGCGAGACTGGCGAGCTGGACACGTCCTGCATCATCTCTCAGGTGGCAGCGCGCGGCCTCGCAGGCCCGGGGCAGAGGGGCGGCCCGGGAAAAGGAGGAGAGCCGGGCGCCTCAGCCCGCCAGCTTCCCCCGCGCGCGGCGCCGGCCCGGGCGGTGCGGCCCGCCGAGGAGGGAGCGGGAGGAGGGACGGGGAGGATCTCCGCGGGGAGGGCGCGCGGGGGAGGCGGGGAGGGAGGCGGGAGGGGGAGGGGACGGTGTGGATGGCCCCGAGGTCCAAAAAGAAGGCGCCCAACGGCCGCACGCACACCCTGCTCGGCCTCTTGGAAACGCTGCCGGTGCCGGCGAGCCCGCGAGGTGTCTGGGAGTTGGACGAAAGCTGCAGACTTGGAGGCTCTTATACCTCCGTGCAGGCGGAAAGTTTGGGGGCAGCAGTGTCATTGGCCTGACGTGGGGAGGAGGGACTTTTCGAAGTTTTATAGGAAAGTTTCCGCTTTCCAGCCCCGCTTCCCCGTCCCCACCCCCCCAACCCCCCTTCCTCAGGGTCTGACAATTCGTTCTCCCAAACCATTCAAAAACGACCTGGCTCGGGCGGCCGGCCCCTCTGCCCGCCTCCTTGCTGCCCTCCCCTTTCCCTCTCCGCCGCCCTCCGCAGGCGGGCGCGGGGCGATTTCCTTCCGCGTCGGAGCGCGCGGGCCGCGCCCCCGCACCCGAGCGCAGCCCCGGAAAGCGGCCGGAGGGGACCTTTCGGCCCCGGTGTCAGTCCCTCCCGGAGTGGCTGTGACAGCAGCGGCAGCAACAGCTTCGACGCAGTGGGTGATGTCTCATCTCGCCCCTGTACCCTCTAGGTCCGTGGGGCCGCTGTGGGATTGCTGGGGGTGGGGGCAGTAGCAGGATAACTGGCAACCGCGGAGCTCCCCCCAGTAGCCAGGTAGACGGGCCCCCAGAGTCGCAAAGGCCAAACCACCGTGGCTGGCCCTGAGGTCGTGGGCGTTTTTGAAGACGTGTCTGCGACGCGGGGACTGCGGATCTGTGCCCCGGCCTGCTCTCACCCCTCCCTGAGAAGCATCTGGGCCTTCCTTTTCCCTCCACAGTGACCCAGTCTAAAAGCTTCCTGCCACTCAAAAGACTACACCTCCGACGGTGCTAGAGACAGTTCGTTCTTTCTCCGAAGTCAGTCCTGTCCTTGGAGAAGGCAGCGGGGCCGGAGAGGGACAGTGCAGCGTCTTCGCTGCAGCCCTGGTCTCCTGAGCCGCCAGCCCAAGGTGGAGGACCCTGTGGCCATTTCATCCCTACCCTACTCTCAAATAAAGCCCCACATTGTGACCTCTAAAGGTAGGCTCCTAAGAGAGTGAGAGTGCGATGGGGTTCAAGCCCCCGAACACGCGCGCGGCTGATGGTTGTGAGACGCACCTTCTCCACCCTTCATTCCTAGGAGGTGGAGTGGACAATTATGCTTCGTGCGACCCAAACGCGTTCCAGTTACTTGGACACTTTTGTATTTTAAGCCATTCTAACGAATACGTTAACAACAACGAGCCCCAGAGCCCCAAAGAGGGTGGTGATGCATATTCTGGCAAATAGGAGGCAACAAAAGTTGGTGGGCTGGAAGGGAAGCCAGGGGAGAAGAGAAACCCCTCTTTGCAATGCCAGACTTGTTTCTCTTTTTTGGAACGAGTTGGGATAGAATAACCATTTCGTGTTCACCGTTAAGTTGCAAAGCAAACTAGAGGTCAAAAGCAGTAGTCGGTTTTCAGGGGGGGAGATTTAGGGGTACCGAGGTTGTGTGCCCTGCGCAGGCCGAGCTCCACTCACGCTCTCCCCAGACTGGCCTGTCAGAGGAGAATTAGCTAAGCGAAAGTCTCCATTCTGGGCCTGACCGAGGGTCGCGGCTGTGGGTGTGGGGAGGAGGAGGAGGGAGCCCAGGCGACTGGAGGGCAGGCCATGTGGCTTTGCCTCGCTGAGGCTCACAGTTTCAGTCCGGAAACCCTGGGGTCTGGAGCTGACTGAAGGGCTCAGACTTCTGGGGCAAGTGAGGGCTAGAGGCATCTCTCTCTCCCGTGGGGGTCGAACAAGGCTGTGCCTTCTTGGGAGGGGCGACTTGCGGGATTTGGCTATCACCATTTTTACAAATATGCAGAAACAATGACCACAGCGTGCCAACTGGCCTGCCCCGAGAGTCACCACCCTATTTTAAAATGAGATCCTTTCTGAAAATTAAGGATATCTCCACTTATAGTATGCAGGCAGGTATCCTTAAAACGAAGCGCACTGTGATAAGTCACCCTTTTGTTTATGTCTTCTGCCTTTAGGATTTTATCTCTTGGAAGCTGAGAGTAAGGCAGAAATTCTGCCACACTCTACCAAGTGTTCTCTTTTATAAATGCGAGTTGCCGGTTATTCCACAATTTTTATTTGAAGGTGGCTGCAGAAATCTTGAAAATTTTCCACCTCTACCCCTCTCTTTTTTTAAGATCAATCTCAAATCTTAATTTTGTTTTTCTTTTCCCTTTAGTGGAATCCTTAAAACTAAAGAGATGGCTTTTTTCCTTTGTGGCTATGGGTAATCAAGACAGGAAAGTGTGGGCAAAGTGTAAAGGGAAACCTTACCTGACCAAGGGGATTTGGGGTTGGAGGATGGAAATGAGGGCAGAGGAACTGGAGGAGAAACCAAGTCCACAGCAGTGCAGGAGCCAGAGATCATTAGCCAGCTGGACTTGCAAAGTCATCAGTCTCCAAGACTGGTTCTTAAACACATGAACCCAACCCTATTCTGGGCACTGAACTTATAGGGGATGAAGAGCGCCTGGCCATTGGGTACCAGGGATCCCCAGGGCTGAGGCTGTGCTCTCGCTCTCGATGCCAGAATGCTTACAAGAGAGTTTAAAATGAATGACCTAACCAGAACCGTCCCAGCATGGAATCTTCCTGACAGAGTCACAATGAATGACTTTACTTCTGAGAAGAAATTTCTCTTGAACTCTTCGAAGGAGTGGAGGATGAGA